AGCTGCAGGGCATACAACATATTTAAAGGAGAAGACAAAGCAGTGGTGGTATTCAGCCAGTATTCAGCAAACTGGTAGCAGCGGCTGCGGGAGCCTCTGCCCACCCACCAGGATGTCATCACGTCCTGTTTTTGATGCTCTACACATGTATGGAAGGCCCTGCACATGCATAGAGGTAGCCCGTGTGAGCGGAGCATGCGTGCAGGCTTGCACACTCACATTTACGAACTGGTAGCAAAGGTAAGTGAATACCATCCCAGAGACAAAGGGCCACAATAAGGCAGCCTATCCCCCCCACACACACTTTGCATCATCTTTACACCACATCCAATCCATTTGTGGGTAGGTGAGTAGATAGGGATGGTGAAGATCTCAGGGAGAGACCAACTCCCACGGATGCCAGGACTGCTACTTAAGAACAATTCTAATGTCCAGGTTCCAGGATTTCCCCTCTTATACAGCTTATTGGGTCCTCAGAGGTGTAGGCTTTATTGAGGCTTCTGCATCTGGAGGCCTTTCAGATTGCTAACCATGCCTTAATCACTTCACAAATGGACTACTGCTATGACATGTACAAGGTGCTGTCCAGGTGTGAAATCCAGCAGGTTCTGACAGGTTCTGGAGAACCGGTAGCGGAAATTTTGTGCAGTTCAGAGAACCAGCAAATACCACCTCTGGCTGGCCCCAGAGTGGGGAGGGAACGGGGATTTTGCAGTATCCTTCTCCTGGAGTGGGGTGGGAATGGAGATTTTGCAATATCCTTCCCTTGCCATGCCCACCAAGCCACATCATGCCCACCAAGCCATGCCCACAGAACCAGTAGTAAAAAAATTTGGATTTCATCACTAGTGTTGTCCCTGAAGACTACCCAAAAGCTACAGCTGGTCTGAATTGAGTCTTGAAAAAGGAGTTGGGGAATATAAGGCAGCTCTCGGGCCTCAAACTGCCTGCTGATGGCATCAAAATGATAATAATAAAAATCACTATTTGGGAGTAGTACATGATACTGTTACTATAGAAGAAAACTTCATATTGAATAATCAGCTCTATATTTGGAAAGTCGGGTTCTAGAGTCCCTAGGGAGTTGGGCGGCATAGAAATGCGACTAATAAATAGAGGATTGTTCTGTGCTACCTAAAAAATAACGGAATGTTCAATGAGCATGTATGAGTGTAAGAGAAAGCTGAATAATTATACTAAAATAACACATAGATACTAAATATATTTAAGAAAATGCATTAATAAAACTTCAATGTAACTTTATTCATTATGGTTTTAGTTTAGCTTTTTCTCACACAGTTATGTCAAGTGAGAAACTTTATTATTCTATACCAGTGATGGCCAACCTTTTTCCCATCGCGTGCCAAAAGCATGGGGAGCATGGGGGGGATTGTGCGCTCGCGTGCCCACACCCGTAATTCAATGCCCCCCACACCCCCATGCATCCGCACACGACCGTGCTACCCCCGCTTTTGGCACGGGACAGCAAAAAGGTTAATGGTGGGCCCGATAGACTCGTTTTTCGCCCTCCCCAGACTCCAGAGGCTTCCTTGGAGCCTGGGGAGGATGAAAACAGCCTTCTCCACCCCTGCAGAGGCCCTCCAGAGGCTGGAAATGGCCCATTTCCCGACTTCCAGTGGGCCCAGAAGACCCAAAAATCAGCTGGCCGGTACGCACATGTGCACTGGAGCTGAGCTAGGGCAACGCTCATGTGCCCACAGATATGGCTCCGCGTGCCACCTGTGGCACCCGTGCCATAGGTTCACCATTACGGTTCTATACAATTAATTTCTCCATTTCTGGTAACAAGTTAAAACAGTTATAATATTTAGACTCAGGAATGAGGCTTCAGAGGTAATCACATAACTGAGCTATATTGATTTTTACATAGATATTAGCTTACAAGGTTCTAATAGTGTTGAATATAGAATCAGTTTACATATATAGAATAACTGGCTACTTTCAAAGAAATTTCATTGAGCAAAGACCATGTTTTGCTGCTGGATCCTATTTATGTTCATCTAGAGGTAAGCATCAACAAGTCTGATAAGGCTAATTCCCTATTTAAATATTCTTTTAGCTGTGATCTTAGTAAATAAAAAGTATGCAGTAAATAGGAGAATTATTTTAAAAAGGAGATACATCTAGTAGGTTTAGGAGATAAACAAAGATCCTTCTAAGAAAAGAAGCTCAAGACCCATTCTGCCTATTCAGTTCTCTTCTCTCCCATTTCCCTAAGAATCATGTTAATTTGGAGAAAACAGAAAATTGCAGTTTGTGGTTCCAAAAATGACTCCAATGATGTGCTTGGTTTTTGTGACAATCAATATTCTGATTTTCAGAAGTTCTGCTTTAAACCAGGGGCAACAACAGTTCTTAAAATGAATGCTATGAACTCAATAGTATGTACAGCAGCTATACCTGGGTTTGAATAACAAACATTCTATGCAACCAAATTGCCAAGCTCGGAGCTCAAATCAATAGCCTAAAAATTTTATAAGCCTAGGTGGATCTACTTCAAAACTAACTATGGTAAGCCATTGGCCAATGCTCAAGTCTTGGAGAACTGAGAAGATTTGTATGTAATAATATCTAATTTTTATTATCAAGATGCTGATTGCAAGAAGGGAGTGAGGAAGCAGATAGGAAGATGTTCGTCTTAATGGAAGACAAGATCCAATGAAGTTGATGGGACAGAAATTTAAAACAGACAAAAGAAAACACTTTTTCTTACTTAAATAATCTTTGGAATTCATTTTCAGAGCACATAGCAATGGCTATTAAATTGGATAGCTTTCAAAGGAGATAAATTCATGCAGGACAAGTTCAGAAGAATCAGAAGGACCTCTGGTTTGAGGACAGCATGCAGAGAAAGAATGATGAGCACTCCAGGGGCATCTGTGATTATTCTATGCCTCTTAAGGGATAAATATTGTAAGCATACCATAGAAAAGTGCTGGAATCTAGATACAGGCTAGAAATAACTTACTACCATAACTTTATTCCATTTTTCCAGTTTCTCATCCTCAATTTATGCGAAGTCTGAGAGAGCTGTTCCCAATATAAAAAGTGAACGAGGAAAAATTTTGGAGGAAAAATTGTTGTGCTTCCTGGAGTCCTTAGAGTACAGGGATAGAAAAACTCCTGCAGCAGGATTGTAAAAGTGGTAGTGTCATCATAATTGCCTCAGCAAGAAAAGTAAATGTACCTCAGGTAGTAAGTCAATTCCCTGGATTGCAGGCTGGATTGCATTCCTTGCAACAAAAAAGATAAGTATCTGGGGATTATTCCCCCAACAATAGGCTATGGTTTTTCTCTGATTGCACCCTCTATTCCACTGAGGAACTGCTGAGATGTTTGCAAGAAGGCAAGATGAAGCAATGTGAAAGCTAGGACTGAAGCACTGGTGAAGAGTATCTATCATGCTGGTCCTTGAAATATCCAGACAATTTACTTAATACAACGTGGCTGCACTTGTAGGTGCTTCTTAGGTTAGAGAGAAAGCTCTTGACTGCTCCTAGCATGCTACACCTTTTCCTGACATGAAAGGCCAGCATTAGCTAGTCAGGTTATGATTGCTGGACTAACACCTTTTTGCAAGAGAAGTGAATATATTTTGCTTCAAGGAACTCTACATTTTGTGGTGCAAACTCAAAGGCTGAAAATAACAGCTTCAACTAAAGGGTTGAAGCAAATATTTTGGGCCTATCATTATGACTTTTTTGACCCCTTCCCCCTTTAGACCCTCCTGACGGTGAATGTTTTAGTGTTAATTTACTGTGGATTTTTCATTTGTACATGCCATGTATGTATATAATGTTGCTAATCTTGGGAATCATGGGATTTGATAATATACAGGTAGTCTTCAAAGAGACAAGTAATCAAATCAGGATTTTTTTTTACCACTTCCAGTTCACTAGGGAGCGGGGGAGGGAGATCCACTAAAGTTATATAGTATTAATAGGATGCAAGCTCCACTCAGTTCACAAGTTTGTAGGAAAGAAGGTGAGGCCAGCCCCCTCCCTAATAGTTCCCAGTGTACATACTTCATGTAGACCAGGGGTGTCAAACTCAAGGCCAGATCTGGCCCACCAGGTGCTTAGATCTGGTCCACAGGGTTGTCCTGGAAACAGCGAAGGACTGGCCTGTAGTGCCTCCGCCAGCAAAAACGGGTGTGCGGCCCTCCCAAACTCCATTTTCACTGGCAGAGGGTTGCAGGAGGCTGTTGCAGCCAAAAGCGGAGCTTGTGAGGGTCTCATGTGGCTCTCCCAAGCTCCATTTTTGCTGGCAGAGGGTGGCAGGAGCCCGTCGCAGCTGAAAACGGAACTCGGGAGCTGTTTTCACTGGCAGAGCACTTGGGCCACCACAGGCACCCCTGACACAAGTGATGTTGAGCTGGCCACGCCCACCCCAGCCCCCTGAGGTCAAACACAACCCTGATGCTGCCCTCAATGAAATAGAGTTTGTCACCCCGGATATAGTCTGTTTCATTTTGACTAGATTCTGTCTATAGGTGTGAAACAATAAAGAAATCTGATTGGAAGAATCATCGCTTGCCTTTCTTGATTTCAAGATCCTGACAGACACTTATATTTAGCAGGCATTTCAAATAAAAACCCACTCCCATTTTCTTCCATTTTAACTTCTTCAGCCAACTTATTTTTGTTGAAGCTATTTATACATTGCTATTGTTAAATAAACAGGGGTTAGAAAACTTTTGTGCATCTACTGAGGATTACTCAGAGATTTAATTTAAACCCCAAGATACAGTATCTTTGACCCAATCTTTGTATCCAATACTAGTTGTTCAAATGGCAATTCGTCCTTCTACCCCGTTCAGCACCCTGAATGAAAAGGGTCAAATCTTTTGTAGAAACTGACTTGGCCAGCTCATTCACTCACCCCTGGAAGCTTTAGCTTTGCCTTCTGGGAAGTGGCCACAAGAGATCTCAGGCTGAGCAAGGGGGCAGAGTTGTGCTGTTTGAATGTGGAAGATTTTGCTAGGCTCAGCTATGAGCATATCCGCTGGACTCCTGAAGCAGACAGAGGAAGGGGAAAGAAGGAGGGCTTAAAGAATCCGAGAGAGATAAAGAGAGGGAAGGAAGGTGAGGGAACAGCTCCTGCTGGCGCCTCTGTAATCCCCCTTGTTCCACCTTGCGCTTCTGTTGGATGCTGTCTGTGGCCACTGGTGCTGAACCTCTTCGGAGCCGAGTCCCCAAACTGGAACAAGAGACCGGCCATTTATTCCCTTTGCTGCTAAAAGGTAGCAGGGAGGGGCGAGTTTCCAGAATAGCAAATTGAAGCTTTGCTCTTAAAAGGAATTACCTGAAAGGGGAGAGGAGCACGCATGGAGGATTGTGAGTCTGGGAAGATTCGCCTCGGGATAGATCCAGGGTTGCGCTCCTTTAGGGCGAGTCTTGAAGGCTGCCCTTGGATTACAGCTGCTCGGTTTGCTTTTTCCTGCTTTTTCTTTTGCTTTGTTTTCCATCTTACCTCCATTGTTGCAAGAGGGTAAGCCATGCTGTGCCTGCAGTTAGCATCCATTGGATCAGAGCAGGTAGGAAACTTGCTGACAACTCCAGCAAAGTATTTAAATTTATGAAGGAGTATCAAAGAAATGGGATATACTCACCAATCTATAGGGGCTCTTTTTTTAAAAAAAAAAATTAAAACAAGGTCTCTCAGCTGCCTAGCACACATACAGCTATAAAGAAGTATCTGCACACTGTTCAGTTACAAAGGAAAATATGACCCACGTAGTAATTATTATTAGTGGAAAGTTCTCACTATTTGGGCTGAGATCTGGGATGTCTGGAATGAGGGGGGAAAATGTTTCTCTAAGCATGTGCCAACTGTTCTTGAGCTCATTGCTAAACTGATACATTAAGAATCTAAGTTTGTAGGAATAACATGGAAGGGCTTCTGGGGCATGATTCCCATTGTGTTTTAGAGATGTTCTCTCTAAAATATATGCACACAGAGACAATCTCTCTAAAGAGAAAACTCATATACAAGCCTCTCAAACCATATCAAAATTTCTTCAGGCATTTAAACCTATTGTTATGAGGTGGCTAGAAATGCACTCATGGCTTGACTGTTTGATCCTTGCAAAGTCCTTAACGAGATAGTCAAAGCTAAAAGCTGCTTTTCCTTTTAGCTGGTTTTAACCCATCTCTCTCTCTCTCTCTCTCTCTCTCTCTCTCTCCCTCCCTCCCTCCCTCCCCCCTTTCTTTCTTTCTCTCTTTCCATAATGTGAGAATCAGAGAGGTTCTCCTGCAGAATTCAGAGCTCCCTGACTTCCATACTCTCTCCAGGTAAGGGAGCTCCACTGGTATCTCCTCTATTTTCTCATTTATCAGCTGCAATACTTTCTTATTTTCCTTTTCCTTCTGAACCTAGTTTTGACAATTCCCGCTCCCCATATCTATGCCCCAAGTAGCTGTGCACGTGCTATCCCATCAGCTTTTTTTCTGACAGATTCTAATTCTCATGTTACTTTTTGATGGCACCTATTTCCTTTTCTCTGAAACTACATGAAAAATATTAGTTGTATTTGTGTTCTTTTCTGAAAAGCGATGCATGCCTTCTGAACCAGGTTTAATTTTTCATGCAGAACTAGGTGGGAACAGAGTAACAACTAAAACTGATCGATGCGTCAAATCTTCTTTTTTAAAAATTTGGCACATAAAACCATAGGACCATAGAAAATGGATCAGGTAGTCATTCTGCTATTGACAGCTTCCCCTCTTCTCTCAGTAATGGTTTCTTCATACTTATTTAGATGCATGGTCAAAAGCCTAATTTTAGAAAAGTCTTTGATTTCTGCTTTGTTTTACATATGTAAAGAAATAGAACCCAAACTGAGATTATTCCAATGAAGGGATGGAGTTGTACTAAGTACTGACCTTATTCAAAACAATCTCTTCTTAATTATAAAGAGCTGTGAATTCTATGGCACATCCATCCAGAGTGAGAACATTTCACAGGCACTTAAATAAAAGCTATCAGAGTAGGACCAGTCTAGCTATAAATGAGCAGGTTGTGTCTAAGGAGTGGAATTAGCTACTGCTTGCTCAATTCAATAAAGTTTCTGGCAATATGCAAATCAGTGATCTCTGCTTACAACACATTGATCAGTTTTCTATCTTCACTAACATCTTTCCTTCAGGATGCTACAAGGATGCTTCAGGATGTTGTAATGATAGTAAAAGCCCTATTATTGTCTTCTCCTGTCAGGAACTAAAACTACAAATGGGCCAGTTTTTCCATAGAAGTGTTTCTGCTTAGAGATCCAATCTTCTAAATATGCCGTTTTCAAGGATATACCATTTCATTTCCCTCTAGTGCCTCTTAATAAATATTTAAAGGATATACCTGATTTTCATTTGGCTCTTCGGATTTTGCCCTCTTATCTCTCTCTCTCACTCTCTACAGTTCTGGTGTCTTAAAAGATCCTCTCCTACCAAAATCAAACAAACATTGAGTGAGAGAAAAAGAAGAAAAGCTGCTGGACAAAGGAACATCAAACAAATGAAGCACATGGAGGTTAGTCAGTGTATAAAGCATAAAATTCATCTCCCTTATTTGTTTTTTAATCATGAGAAAGTGACAGTTTCAAAAGCGACTACCAAATTACTGCGAAACATTCCTGGGTTCCCCAGAGAGTAGAAGGCTATAAAAGTTGGGTAAGTGGGACTCATATGCAGTTGGGACCCTGAATGGATTGCCAGTTTATATTAAAGAAATGTCTATATGTTAATGGGATTTTCAAAGATTTGTATATATATTAAAGACAGTAAGAGGTACAGTGATGCACAGAAAGTTCTATGAGATCATTTTTCACTGATGCATAGAGGGCTTGTTATTGGTCTTTCCAATATTATAATGTGAACTTTTACTTCTAAAGGGGGTACTGTAAAAGGTACTGTTTCCACTTCCACTTTTATTTGATAAATATGGGATTCTTGTACTAATTAATATTGCCTTAAATTTGTTTCACTTTGCTTGAAAACTCACAAAGCTACTGAGACTACCCTGTTTCCCCCAAAATAAGACATCCCCTGATAATAAGCCCAATTGGGCTTTTGAGCACATGGCAATAAGGCCAAGCGCTTATTTCAGGGTTCAAAAACATACAAGACAGGGTCTTATTTTCGGGGAAACACGATATATTGGGCCTGCAAAATGTATTTAGGTTGTAAAATTGACTCTTTTGGTAAGTTGCATTTAATTTGTTAGAAGAAACAACTGGTTCGTCTTATCCAATGAGTTGCTTCAAAGTAAAGATATTTTTCCCCTGCCTGCAACAAGAATAATCTACTTCTTAAAATCTGAACTGGTTCAAATAATGGATGGTTTGATCTATACTTCTTATTTAGGGAGAACAGAGATTTCTTTTTCACCCAGACTAGGTGATAATTTCCAGATCCTGCTACAGATTTCATGCTTACCTGTCAATTCTGATTGCTCCACAGAGCTGACAAAACTCTTTGAGTAGGGTTGTCATATAGATAGAGCAGATCTTCTATTTCAGGGGTGTCAAACTCTTGTTGTCATGTTGTCATCACATGATGTGTCATGACTCCCCCCCCTTCACTGAAACGGGTGGGCATGGCCAGTACATGATGCAGCTGGCAAATTTCCATTACTCATATTTTTTGTTCTCTTCCATATGGCTCAGGTCCAACTAAAGTTTTGCTTTGGTCTTTTTTCTGTTATTTCTCTTATTCTATTCTAAAGTTTCTGCTTTTCATGCCACTACCTTTATTGTTCTATTGCATTCATTTATCTTGTGTCTTTGTAATAGTCTTCCCTCTAATATTTCAGAATGCTATATTAACTCCTCCTGATCTTCAGCCATAAGGGTAAATGGAGTCCCTGAAGATTTTATTCTGCTAGTGGTTGCTGAATATCAGGGGTGGGTGGGTACTCATCTTCATTTCAAGGGCACTGAGCCAGTGCTGTCTGAAGCCATTTCCTTTTTTTTAAAAAAGTTTTTTTTTTTTTTTTAAGTATGTACTAAACAAACATTTAGTACATAATTCATTTCTTCCATGTGACATTTCGGGGCTACCTTCAAAAAGTTTCTTCTCTTCTCTATCTCTTCTGTCTTCAATCTTACCAAATCCGTTACAAAGATTTTCCACTAATATAGTATTCTAATTACAACAATTTTTTCCAATCTCTTTTAAAACTTATTTGTATCTCTTTTCTAACCAATAATAAAATTGATTCCATATCTTAAAATATTCTGAATCTTCTCTTTCCTTTATCGTCATAGTTAATCTATTCATTTCTGCACAATCTAAATTTTTTAAAATTACTTCTCCCTCCGATGGTATATTCTCTGCTTTCCAGTTTTGTGCATAAAGAATCCTTGTCGCCGTTATTACATATATAATCAAATATATATGATCTTTACTAATTTTCTCTGGTAAGATACCCAATAGGAATAGCTCTGGTTTTAAATCCATACGTTGTTGTATCATTTCCTCCAACCATAACTTAATTTTATTCCAATAGATTTTTGCTTCAGGGCATGTCCTGAATGTGGTAATATGAACCTGGTAACTGGTGGCATTTCCAACATTTAGCTGATTTATTTTTAAACATTATTGCCAGTTTCTCAGGGGGCATATGCCATCTGTCTGAAGCCATTTCCATGGGCATGTGGCAGGCATGATGTCATGGAGCACTGTTATCTTCCCACCTATTTATCAGCTCGCATTTGCATATTTTCGAACTGCTAGGTGGGTAGGAGCCAGGGTGAGGATAGGAGCTTACATCATTGTGTGGCGCTTAGGTCTTGAACCTGGGCCGCTCACCTTCCAGCTGACAAGCCCAACATCTTAAGCCATGTCTTACCTTAGTTTTCTTCCTCTGTCCTTTTTCTCAAGCTTCATTAGCCCATTTCTCTTCCTTCAAATTTCCTCATCTCATTCTCTATTCATGGATGCATAGATGGAAATACATCCATTTCATTTTCTATTTTGTGTGAGTAAGATAAGATTTGAAAGGATTTTTCAAAAGGGAATAATTCATAAAAGTGTCATCTTTTTATTGAACTGTAATTACATGTGCTTTTCAAGATAAAATCTCCGACAAACCTCTTATGTCAAATTTGTATCATGACTTCTTTTTTGATGTAAAATTATCCTAGGCAGACTTTTTAAAGTATATATTTCACCAATATCTGCAGTATCATGTATCCTTTAAAATGGTGGTGGTTTTAGGAAAACCCCAATCTATGCTTCCCCTTATCAACTTTGAATTAAAAGGATTTACTTATTAGCATGCATCTTTTACAAAAAATTTGTGGGAATTGGGTTTTTGACTAGAGACAAACATTAATGAATTATGGTCACAGTCTAAACAACAAGTTCATTCCAGCAGATGATCCTAAATAAAATACATACATACATACTTACATACCTACTTACTTACATACATAATTTTACTCATAGATTTCAGACAGTATAGAACCATTGTGGTGAAGTAGTCTGCTTGTGCAGTTGGTTACTAATGATCTATCAATTAAGTACTATAAGCTTGGTAGCAGAATTTGGCTCTGAAATACCTGGGTTCCAAATATTTTATTTAAAGGATTGTATTTTTTATTACAGCCAGTAAAAATTATATCCAGATTATAGTAACTCACTTCTCGCCAATCCAGTACCTTTGGGAAATTGTGGATGTTATAGGCCAATGCATATGGAATACATGAGATTATGAAGGTAGCACTATATTCTTGACAATGTCTCTTAAACTGTCTCCAAATTTTTAAAAGACTGCAATGAAAAACAGAATTGTATATCCAACAAGCCACTGTTATCTACAGCCAGGACCATTTCTGATCAGGAATGAAAGCACTGATTAAGATTTTATTCTCATAACCATTTGAGACATGTTAATCTGCTTCTCATTCCATAGCTATAGATTAAACCAGTCATGCAAAAAACAGCATTTCAGATGTATGCTGAGCTAAGCATCAAATAACTTTGCGCACATCATTGCTGTGGTGGAATGTTGTCCAGAGTCGCAGGAGGGAGAGAGCAAAGAGACATTGTAGTTTGGAATATCTGGTGGGCAGGAATAGATCAAGGAGGACCCTCCCCAACAATTCACAGAGCATATATATAGTTATTGCAGGTAGGAGCTGTGATGGTGCAAGTGGTTAGAATGCAGCATTGCAGGCTGGCTCTGTCCACTGCCAGGAGTTTGATCCTGACTGGTTCAAGGTTGACTCAGCCTTCCATCCTTCTGAGGTTGGTAAAATGAGGACCCAGATTGTTGGGGGCAATATGCTGATTCTGTAAACTACTTAGAGAGTGCTGCAAAGCACTATGAAGCGGTATATACCAGTAAGTCTAAGTGCTATTGCTAGGGCTATTGGTAATTGCTTTATTCTGGCAAGATTTCTAATTGTAGATGAACAGCAATAAAGGAACTATTCAGAAGTAATTCAGTTGCTTTACTGTATCATTCTTCTTAGTTCTTTGGGGCTGACAATTGCAGACATATTATGAAAGCCTGATTGTAAGTGGCTGCGGTTGGGATGTTTGAACAAAGCATAGGAAAGAACAGAAGTTACCTAAAGTGATTCCAGGTTCTACTGAGAAGGCCTGCCCTGAACATTTTTGGTGCCACATCTGGTTTTTTTGGGGTTTTTTTTTTTTGTGGAATTAAGAGTTCCAGCCAAGAATTTTAAAAACATGAAATTGCCATAAAAAGGATGACTATGTAAGGCTCAAGTGACATGAAAAACTTTGAAGAGATTTAACAGGCCAGAACTGAGCTGGGAACCAGATTATTATGGAAGGATTTGGCTCCTGTTACTGACATTTTCAAGTTGTCCTCTTCGTCTCTCTTCATAGAACATAATCCTTTCATGGATTCTGTGCCTTACCTCTGCCTTCATAACAGATCAGCTTTAATAGTTACTCCTCATGCGGTCCAAAGGCAGAAAGTGCAAACCGCTTACTTTTGTGCCATTGTTAATCCTAGAAGTGACTGTGCTGAATAGAACGATTTCTGCTCAGCTCATCATTTAAACATATTCATTACCTCGTGACCAGCTCTTTGAAGGATAACATTGTTATGCAAAGGGATTTGCACCCATCCTCCACAGTTTTCACTAAGCTAAACACACCATTGGCTTTAAAGCAAAGAATGGAGAGTTATGGATTGCCTCCATTCAGTGATTATTCCTGACTGTTTCTAAGTATACTCTTTACAGTTTGCTTTCATTTTTCTCCACAGTGGGAAGCGTTACAAGTGTTTTCTGGCTAAATGGACATTGTTTTAGAATCATAGATTTCGAAAAGACCCTGGAAGGCATCTAAGTTTAATTCCTTTCTCTGCTACACAGGAGGCAATTGAAATGACTCTGACAGATGGTCAAAGCAGTCTCTGTTAAATGCCTTCAGTGAATCACTGTTACCCAGTGTGAAATATTCCTCTCCCACAACAGCCCCCCCCCAAATCCTGCAGTTTGAGCTTGGTTTAAGTGACAGCATTTTTTGAGCTGGAACAAAGAACATTATTAGTAGTGACAATTGATTTTATCTTTCTAAAAAGCCTTACAATTCTCTCTCAAACTGATTGCTATTTATCACTTAGATGCACATCACATATGCATCTCAACATAGGCTCAACAATATTTACATACCTCAAACTCCCACTCCTAAAATTATCAACATTTGGTGAATTTCAGTCTATCTTTTTTTAAATTTGTGTGTTTGTGTGTGGTCTGTTCACAGATGAAATTGTGAGAGATGACAAATGTGCAGGAAGTTCCAGGTGCCATACTTTTTATCCCTGATATTTGCATACTTGTGCATAGTTTAAAGGCTTGCTAAGCACACTTTGGTTTACTGCATGTAGGGAATGCTTTTTTATGGAAAGAAAAACAAAATGAATATTAAGAAGCATACTTATGTGTTTTTAACATGCTTGTTAGGAATGTGTTTATTTTATACATTTGCCCTCTTTCCACTTAATATTTTACAGCACTGGGTAGCATTAGGTAGCATTGATGATATAATCTAGTTTGATAATGAAACGTCTCCAAGAAAACAGCTAAGCTCAGAGAGTACTTGCAGACAATTGCATAATATTTTATAGCATGTGGTGTTGCAAGTACAGACTATGACATGGAAATACAGTGATCCACTTATTGTATATTTGTGTGTATGTTTGTGTTTTTGCAATGTCAAATTCTTATAGGCAACCCCCCCCTGAACTTTTGATCTATGTCTTGACAAATGATACCTATGAGTCAAAGATGAATGCAGCCATATTTTCAATATTGATCCAGCCTATTATTTTCTTCTCTTGTTCCTATTTAATTTAAGGGTTCATGTATGTCACAGGGGGAAAATAAAATGCTATAGTGGATAATTGGCTAAGCCTTAGGTAATAAAATGTTCATACACTTCTAACACTTTTGTTTCAATAAATATGTTACTCTATATTTCATAAGTAAATGAGAACTGAAAATAAAAAAAAATTAATTGTAATCGTACAATGTGCCACTCCTGCTTTATCTGCAGAGTCGTGTGAAATTTTAAATATTTATTTGGCCTATAAACAATTCCTGGCAAACTAAAATATACTGAAGATTGAGGGAAACAGTGTTGACTAGGTATATTTAAGAACATGAAGTGTAGTTATAAATGATAGTCTTTTCCTCCATGAAATTGGAATAATCTTTTAAGCCATTCAAGTTGCAGATTCTTGCAGAAGCAAATGTTACAAACTGGATGCATTTTGTTTGAAATTCTTCATTTTCTTTATTCAGCTTCACTGGATAGTCAAAGTTCTAATACTGTGAAAACTGAAACAATTTTTTGATTTATTCCCTACTATGCATAATTCTATCCACCTTATTTATGCAGTTCCCATCCCATCTAAGAAATCAAAGCTGTGAGATTTGCAGCCCAACAACACTTAAGGTAAGGGTGTCCAACCTTGGCAACTTTAAGATCTGTAGACGTCAAGTGTTAGAATTGCTGGGTGGGAAATTCCGGGAGTCCACAAGTTTTAAAGTTGCCAAGGTTGGACACACCTGACTTAAAGGATCTGTTTTTGCCTGTTGCCATCTCAAACACTCACACTTACCTAGAAGAAAGTTTCACTGAATTCAATAAAATTTACGTTTGAGAAGACTTCTATAGAAATGAACGGTAAATATCTTTGAATTAAATACAATTGATTTCTAAGAAAAGATTCTTGGGAACTTTCTTTTCCTCTTTTTTTTTAAATGTCATTCTATCCTACAGAGTTTCTAATATTTTCTCCTTGTATCACAGGTATAATTTGGTGGCTGATACATTAAGCAAAATGGCTAAAGTTAACACTTATCACTCCTACCCTGCTGCCCATAGATCTTCTGGGAAGACTGTTAGCGATGACCCTGGTAGACTTGAAAATGGAATTAAGAGGTAATGGATTCAGCCCATCACCATCACCACCATCATCAGAGAAGTTTCATGATTGTTCACCACCCAATTGTCACTTGTTCAAGATGAGTGGCTATAGCAATTAAATAGATGAATAAATAAATAAATAAATATTTTTTTTATTTAAGGAGAGGAGAGGAATTTTATGGAGATGTGAAGGCAAAGAATGGGAAAAAAATAAATTCCATTCTTAAAACACATATCCATAAATACAGTTTGCCGACCACTGAAATTTAAATATGCACCCTTATTATTTACTTTGTCAGAGTGTTTACAGCGTGACTACTATTCTAAGACAACCCAGGAGCAAAATACAGGACATAGAGGTTTTGTGTATAAACAGTGGTTTATATACAAGACTTCTATGTACAGACATAGATGTGGTAGGCACATACCAGCAAGCAAGCAATTTTCAACTCTGCACGGAGAGCTACAGTGCAGATAGAATACGACAAGGAGAGAGATATATGAGGAGAGAGAGATACGCCCTCTCATGGCCTCCCTTATATAGACATCTTCTTAAAGCGGCAATAACCCTGCTGACTCATCCTCAGTCTTAAAGCGGCAATAGCCCTGCTGACTCATCCTGGTCCACAGCCTTACAGCGGTTGGTCAGCTTTACATCTTTATTACCCTAACATACTTTCTCAGAAGCAACTCCATAAAGTTTAATAGCAAATTCCTAACTTGCAAAGGGATTTATCATTTGGAGCTTCCTTTCCGCAGGTCTCGGACTGTCTTGTTGCCTTCTGTCTTTCTTCTATATTTCTAGGCAACAGATAATTTCCCTTTTTATTATCAACAGGAATTAAAGGAGGCTAACTTTGAGAAGACTGTTCCCATTTACTTCTATATCTATATCCTTTAATTAGAAGACCAGAGAGTGTGCTTTCAAACAGGGTGGTCTTTTCAAGTAGTCACTTGATGGAACTGTTCTATTGGAAAGATTTAGAAACATTAGCGGGCCTTTCCTTAAGCAGAAAAGAAGCTAGATAGTTAAAAAAAAAACTCCTTTCTTTCCTACCAAATTGTATAGCTATCCATTCATCTGTGAACTTGCACAAAATCATACCAGCATAACATTTGTCATCATCATTGTCAGTAACCCTACATTGTCTCTGTTCTGTCCTTGTTAATCACCTGATCTCCTTCCAAGGTAATGAAAAGGTTATGTTTGACAGATTCAGCACATCTTGAAACTGCCCTTGGACAATATCAGAAAAAAAAAATGGGGGAAAACATTGATTTCGTTAAGTTTGTCTCATTCATGGACTGAGCATGAGATAAAAGCAATGTCATGGAGGTAAATGCAGAGAAAAGTTATTTCACGCACATGAAAATGGAAGGCAATGATAATGGCCATCTACTTGACTCTTTTCATGCCCCCTGTGGCTGCCATGCTGAGATCTATTAAAGCTATCATTTGGGAGTGGCGACAGTGACAATTTAAAGAACATTTATTGAATGTCAGAATAAATATGATCAATCCTATCTCTCTTGAAAACAGTCCTAATTTTGTTACATTTTTTCAATTATATAGTCTTTGCTACTTAAACGTGCATCTAGACATATATTACTATCATGTTATCATGTTAGGTGGTTCTCTTCTCTCCCTTCTTCTGGTGCTAGTTCTAATCAGTTTTGATGGGGTAGACACATCTAGGGTTACCCAAGTATGTAGGAGTGGGCCTTAGGGTTCATCGTTCTCACGGCTCCTATTTAACATCTATATGAAGCTACTGGATGAAGTTATCTGGGAACATGGGATTAAGCATTGTCAATAGCATGCTGTTGATACCCAGTTATATAGAGGTAGTTCTCAACTTACAACTGACTGAAGTTACAATGGCACTAAAAAAAGTGACTTATACCAGGCTCTTGTGCTTATGGCTGTCCCCATGGTCAAGTGATCAAAATTTGTGGGGCTTGGCAACTGGCATGTACGTATTTATGATTGTTGCAGTATCTCAAACATGATCTCCATCTGTGACTCCATATGGCTTCCAACAAACAAAGTCAATGGGAGAAGCTGAGTTTGATTAATGACCACATGATTCACTTAATAACTGCCATGATTTGCTTGCTTAATAATGGTGGCACAAAAGTCACTTAACAACTGCCTTGTTAGCAACAAAAATTCTGGTCCCATTTGTGGTCACAAATTGAAGGCTACCTGTATCTGTATGCAGGCTGACCAAGTGATAGTGATAAGGTTACTCTCAGTGTCCGGAAGCTGTGAGAGTTTGGAACAAGACAAACAGATTTAGCGTCACGCCTGGTAAGACAATGTGGCTATGGATTTTGAGGCCACCTGGCCCTAGATATTTTTCATTGTTTGTTCAGGATGGGCTTGAACTACCACAGACGGGACTGGTATCCAATTTGGGGTTTGCGAATGGTTCACGGCTCCTGCTTGACTAGCAAATAGTAACTATCCCTAGGATGGAATGTGTACTTATTCTTCTTGTGTGTCAATTGTGTCAGTTCCTGGATTGCTAAGGAGGCAATCGCTTATTGCCTCTCATTCGGAGTATTTGTTATATGTGGGGTTGCCCTTGAAGCCACTTGGAAGCTACAGTTGATCCAGAATTCAGCGGCATAAGTTGATAAAGGTACATAACCTCTTCCCCAAATTAGTTTGATCCAATCCTCTCCCCCTTTAAAAAGTTGCTGAAAACTGGTTCTTAGCCCAGGTACTAGACAGGAGCTGATTGGAGCCATATGTTCTGGAGCTATACAGTGTATGCAGTATATTTTATTTTACTATTATTTATTATTTTAATGATTAACATGTTCCTGATTATTTTAAATGCTGGATAGCCATCCAGAGAGAGTCAGTTTAGTATAGGGGTTAAAGGCATCAGGCTAGAAACTAAAGCACCATGAGTTCTAGTCCTGCCTTAAGCATAAAGACAGGTGAGTGCCCTTGGCCAGTTACTCTCTCTCAGCCCTGGGAAAGAGGCAATGGCAAACCATTTTTGAAATCTTGCAAAGTAAACTGAAGGGACTTGTCCAGGCAGTTGCCAGGTATCAATGCTGATTCAAAGGCACAAATAAATAAATAAATAAAATAACCATCCAGAGTTACTCAGTGAGTGTTCAATAATAGATAAATAGATGCTATACCTAGTTCAGAAATAGGTTTTTATTTATTTTGTTATTTTCTTGTAATGTCCACTTCTTCCAAACTGTGTATACTTAGAGTTGTTAAGTAAGATATAAAACCTGTTTGTTAAGGAATCCAGTCTTACTTCGTTATCAAGAAAGAAAAAAACCCAATGGATTTTTAGTTTTTAGAACAGGGGCTTTGTAGGAATACTGTTGGAACCATATACATTTCTATGCACCATTAGTTTTGTCCACATGCAAAACAATTCACATTTAAGAATACGATGTATTAACCCTAATATTTTTATATAATAAATTCATTCTCTATTTAAAGTGGGATCTATTTGCATGCATGTGCACTTTTTTGTATAAGTGTAGCAAAGTTGTTTTTTTTGTTGAAGATACCAAAATAATAAAGGACTAACATTTATCAAGATAAGCTTTTCTTCTTTCCTAGTCAAAAACTTTTTCTAGAGGCCTTAACTCATAATCTGCCACAATTCTGAAATGTCAGCAAGATCATATCTATTCCAGAAAAGAGATAATCTGAGTAGATATACTCTTCAAGCTTATTTTTCATTTCACATACATATTCATTCACCCACCCTATTTCAACAAAGAGGATAAGTGTAGTATGTAACAGTATGATACGGGCATTATAAAAGTCCCATATAATAGCAGGTTTCAATTCACTGAATGACTTTTGAATCACTGAAATGAAATTTAATCATTTGGACTGATGAATGCATAAGAGGAAGCCAGAATATAACACTAAATAGGCAGGAAAAAAATAATATGGGAAAGCTAGAAATCTTTGACAGTTTATATAAGTTAAACTGTTCCATATTTCCACATTTGCTCTCACAGTAAACTACGAAGAGAGACACCTACCCTCACTCTGTTATAGATGGTGAACCTGATCTAATAAAGAAGATAAAACTGAAACAACTGAAAATATGATAAAAGCAATGGCTGTTTCAATTTATATTTGAAACTTATAATTAACTTTTATAAACGTCAGATATAAATGTCACTTGGAAACAACATTTCCTTCCCTTCCATCATCTTAGAGCAGGGGTCTCTAACACTGGCAACTTTAAGCCTGGCGAACTTCAACTCCCAGAATTGGAGCTTTGCTGGCTGGGGAATTTCAGGAGTTGAAGTCCGCCAGGCTTAAAGTTGCCAAGGTTGGAGACCCCTGTCTTAGTGTGAATGACAGCATCTGTTGAGTTATTTAGTTTTTGATTCCTCTCAGAATTTCTTTCCTTGTTGCTTTTTTCTACTATGATCACCTGAAATGGGACAAGTGAAAAAAATCAGACAAGTACAAATATTGTAATGTTTTTCCGGAAAGGCTTTAGGTGCTGAGAAATATTGAACTAGGGCAAAAATGATTAATATATTATCTATTCTCCCTCAGTATCACTTATGACAGTAATATATTGGTGACTGATCAAGGAATGCACATTCTTTCACAGGTGCCTGATTGGAAAAGCTTGAAGCAAGCACACATTGAACTGTGACTAAATGTCTTTCTGCTTGATTTTGAAGGACCCCATCCCCGGGTGAGGATAGATCTTCAAAATTAGAGAGTGTCATTTCCATGGCGGAAGCAGGAGGGGATACATCCGCAGAAGGATCAACAAACACGTAAGCTTCATTTATACTATGTCTGGAAAATGACCTTGTAAAAGATTATTAGGACCTTGTTTGGAAGCAAAAGAATGAAATAAAAGTAGATAACAATATTGTTAATGCAATGAATTTTGTCTTCATGAAGCCAGAAATGAAAGGGATGAAGAGAAGAATAAGTTGATCTTGGTTTATACTATTAAGTCAGTCTGGACCAATGTTTCTCAGCTTTGGGAACTTTAAAATGTGTTGAGTAGGGAATTATGGGAGATGAAGGCCATGCATCTTAAAGTTCCCAAGCTTGGGAAACACTGGTCTAGTGTGTGAGTATGATGAAGGATGAGTTGCAGCAGATGGGAAGTGTGTTATCTGGCTCAACTGAAGAACATAGAGTGATAGTGTAATTTATATATTACTGGGAAAACTTTATTTAGCTTTTAATCAGAGCTAGACTAACACATGTGACATTAAGGATAATCAAACTCCCATTTCCCAATCTTTCTAGGAGGTGATGAGTCATGATCATGAGAACAATCAAAGCTTAATGAATCTTGTCTCATTGCTGAATAAAGTGTGGCTGGGTGAAGCTTCACTAACTTCTTACAGAGCATAATATTCTCAACACTTTGTGTATTGTGGTGAAAATACTGTATATCTGGATATAGATTTGTTATCTGAAATTGGTACATACACATTCAATTCATCAAATGAATATATTGGGGAAAATCATTCCACATGTCTCATCAGTCCACTTGGAACAGATGGACAGTTGGATCAGTCCAGTTGGAATAGATTTGTTGGAACAGATTTGTTCCAACTTCCATCATCCACATCTGCTCTTGGCTGGGGTGATTTGACACATTTGGAGGTCACCAGGCTGGGAAAGCCAGTCTAGCTGTTAATGCTAGTTAGCAAGTGTTAGATTGCAAATGGCAAAGATGAAGTTGTTAATATTGGCCCTTTGCATTGCTGGCATGTTCCGTTTTTCCTTTCAGGTCCTCAGGGTTTTTCTCATCGGTGAGAAACTGGTTCAGAAAGCACTTACGTCGAGATGGCCAAACATCTGATTCTTCAGTTGAGGCTCAAGGGGGAGAAAACAAAGACAACAAAGCTGAGCCAAAGAAGGATGGGAAAGACAATCCGAAAAAGTAAGAGGATGCTGCTTCAGTGAAAATATATGTACTTTTAACAGGGCTAACCTGCAGAAAAATAAATAGACTTGTTTCTAGAAGAATCGGGTTTAGTGAAGAAATCTAATATATAAACATTTATTTACATGCACATATATACACATAGATTTGAATACTAGCTGATTGACTTATTCTGTTAGAATAGGAGCAATATTCTATTGTCCTAAATTAGCCAAGTAACCAATCTCTGTTCTCCTGGTTTGTATACTAAGTGCTGAAAAAGAAAGAAACAGAAGATTACTGGATGATTAATTATATAAATCAGTTTTCTTAAGTTAATTTATGACTAACGGGGAACTAATGAATCTTAGTCTGGATGAAAGACCCTATTTTAAGTTGTGCAAGCTCCCATTTCATATTAACATTCGTATTTTCCATGGACCCCCCCTTTTTTGGGAATATATATATATATATATATATAATGGGTGTTTGAGTATGTGATGTTTTCTTCCCCCCTGGAGTTAAATATTTTTATTAGTGTTAGATATTATGAGAGTTAGATATATGCTTCTTATCTCCTATGAGTTTGTAGCAGAAGTGGATATTTCTGCTGGCTGTCCAGCAGATTTCATAATTCAACTATGACGATGAAACTTCTTGAGTATCCCAGCCAAATGCTTTCTATAAATAGCCAGATCTTCAACACAAAAGTGTTTGGCAACATGTGACTAAGGTGATGTCCTGGATAATTCTGTAATGGAGCTTAACCTTGTTATTAAAGTTGTCTTCTTTATTTTTTCAGCATTATGGGAAGACTAACAGTTGAACCAGTGATGGAGGCTAGAATGTATGTGTGAAACAGAGAGAAAGTGAGAGAGAGACAGACAGACAGACAGACAGAGAGAAAGATGGATGCTTACACATACAGTGGCCAGGAAGATTTACTGGTTTTGCTCATTTTTTTTTTCATGTGTATGTGTATTCATTGATATATTCATCCATTTGGCCAGATTTAATACCAACTGCTTCAACACCAGCAGAGAGCAGATACAACGTGGACAATTTTGTCTAATCTTTCCTAGTTTTCACTTTGTAAATAGGCTGCTACAGTTGTAAGGGAGTTCCTTTGTTCCTTACTTTTGAAAACCTGATTCAGCTAAAATTTTCATAATGGACAAGTGGCCCTTGTAGTAACAAACTAGCCCTTTCCTTGTTAGAGGTTGCCAATAATGCAAATTTGAAAGTTGTCACAGATTTGATTTTAAAAAAAATCCTTGTCTTCATTAATGCTTGTTTTATTACTTGGGCTTACTATATTAAGTAGATTTTGTGAAGTTTTGCCCAGATGTCTGTTCATGTTTAAATACAATGAATATTATCATATATAATGCATTCTTTTAAAAGTTGTTTGCTCCTACTCTCTCTCCTTATGCTATTCATTTCATTTCTATATAATTTGCACTGTCATTTTTCCTCCGAAGCATAAAACAACAACAAAAGCACACCACCTTCATACTGCTTGGCAGTATTTTTGGGGAGACTGTAGAACATATTCAATCTTGTAGAATAGGCGAAGGCCACCTATTCAAAAAATGGATCTGGCCAGGAAAAAAATAATCAGTGGCACATTAAGAGGGGTTGCAGAAGGTTAGATTAAAGCTTCCTAGGGGACCTTCAGACCTGTGAGCATGTGATTGATACAGACCATATATTTTTGATCTTGAATAACAATGTAAAGTTAGATGGGTGATGTCAGGATACGATTCTGAAACTCTGGCAGATGAAGATCAGAAGAGACATCTGGAACAACTGGGGAAAAAAGATAAGATGGGAGCAGTGGTGGGATTCAAGTAATTTAACAACCGGTTCTCTGTCCTAATGATTTCTTCCAACAACCAGTTCACCAAACAGCTCAGAAAGTTAACAACCGGTTCTCCCGAAGTGGTGCGAACTGGCTGAATCCCACCACTGGATGGGAGTCTGACCAAGTGTAGTTGTGAATTCATGTTTGATCCTATCCTGTGGCAATAAGAATGGTAAATGGTTATAATATTTCTTTCTGACTGCATTGGGGGGTTACCAGCTGGTGACCTTGTTTAGGCTGGCCAACTTCCTTTTTGGGAGGAGGCCATAAGCTTTTGTTCCTGCCTGGCCTCTGTGATCAGTTGGTGCATGACATTGTGGACCTGAGGGCTCAAGTTCTTGACTGTGATGTGGTGACTGGGGAAATGCTTTGTCGTGTTACCCTGGACCACCTGGGCCTATGGTCTTTGAAGAAGAGGATAAGATAGTCTTCGAGATACCCTCAGTCACTTATGGCATGGATCCATGCTTCTCCTGGCTCCTTTATGGGGCATGGATGTCTATGAAGATAAGCTAGTTTGAGAGATAATTAGAGCCTCATAGGATAGAAATACTGGCTGTCTTGAAAGAAGCTGTAATGCTCTGCCTGTTTAGCAGGTCTTTCCTGGATCCAGCGGTTCTTGTTAATTAATATTCTATCTCTAAGCTACTCTTGTGAGGGAATGTTTTTGAACTTTCAGTCAGTGGACAACTCAGAAGCACCCAAAGATGAAATGGATTATCAGGCACCTTCCAGTCAGCTTTCAGCCTTGGGCATGGGATAAAGCCAGCACTTGTTATTCTTAAAATAACTGTATTAGATTAAGATTGGCTTTTTAACATATCCACCAAGCATGGTAAAAAGTCCTCTCTTCCTTTATACATTTTATACTTTTTTTCTGGTGACGAATACCAAAAATATATCATTTTATAAAAAATTATCTGTAAGATTATAACAATGTAAATTTCAAACTTTTCACTGGTCTACCCAAATATGGGAAGGAACATACTGCTTCCTTTCACATTTCAGCCCCAATCCAGCCCCTCAGGCAGTCACATGCACGACAAACTATTTTGTGTTAAATTTATATTTACTGACAAAGTCTCCCTTTATTTCTTTGTCAGTAAATATATATATAGTGTGTGTGTGTGTGTGTGTTTAATTAATATTTGTCTTGTTGGAATTATCATTTGTCTTGTTCGAACTTGGCTGGAGATAGGCTGAATCATTTTTGATACCACTGATCGTAATATGTTTTTGAACCTCTGGTGAAGGTTGGATATTGGCGGTACTTCCTAAGAGAGTGGTTCCAATAAGTAGGGGCACACAGAGTGATTAAGCAAGCAGTTGACTGCAGGTTTCACTATTTTCCCTCTTGCCTTTTAATACCTGCATGAAACTGCAAGGACAAGTCATCGATCATTGGTTTGGGGTGGGCAGTGTCTTGTATGCTGATGATACTCAGCTGTTGGTCATCATCACAGGTTGAGTAGGAGGTCTTGTCAACATCTTGTCTTGCTGTGTAGAGGCTGGGGTTAGGATATAAATAAGACAAACTGGTTGAGAATGACTCCCTGCATGATAGAGTTGCAATTTGTCCACTGAGCTGCCTTAATGTTGACTGTCAAAAAGCAGGTCTAAGATTCAGAGGTCTTCCTCTTTAATGGCCAGGTAGAGATCAAGGTCTTTGCCCACCAATGGTATATATATTAGATATGATCCTCCCTGGGGCAAAGTACTCTTGAAGCAGCAACTCACCTTTGGTTTGGGGCCTGTAATGACTTCATTTTGACTTCAAAGTGCTGGTCATTACAGTTTGAAGTTGCAATGTCACTGAAAAATATGGCTTATGACCATTGCAGCATCCCCATGGTCATGTGATCAAAATTTAGACGCTTGGCTACTTGTTCATATTTGTGACGGTTGCAATTGTCCTGGGGTCATGTGATCATCTTTTGCAATTTTTTGACAAGCAAAGTCAATGGAGAATCCAGATTCACTTAACAGCCACATTACTAATTTAACAACTGCAGTGATTCACCTAACAATAGTGACCAGAAAGGTCATAAAATGGACCAAAATTCACTTAATAACTTAGCAACAAAAATTTGGGGCTCAATTGTGGTTGTAAGTCGACGACTACCTGTATCTAGAAAGCCTTAGCTGGCTTGGCACTGAGACACTTGCAGGACTCCCTCCACCAGTTGGAATTGACCTGCCTGCATTTTGTATCCTGCTACTGATCCTCCTTTCTGTGATACTGATAGTGCTGACATCTGCAATTGCTGCTTTATGGTGACACTGCCTTATGCTACTATGAAGTCACCTCCTAGTCAAAATCAGGCTGGTACAGATGGTTTTATCTTCCTGGGAATTGTTGAAGGCTTATAATGAGTCATAGGATTCTCAAGATTTTATCTTGACAGTTTTATCTTTTCATGTTTTTTTTAACTTTTCATCTTCTTCTTATTGGGGATGGCCTGATTTTTCACTACATCGTCCTTTGTTTACTCTTAATTACTATGAGCTGCCAAGAGTCTGAGAGATTGCAGTGATTGAAAATATGATTCATAAGTGAGTGAATGAATGAATGAATGGATGGATGCTGCAACGGAACTAGCATTAAAAAAAGAGGATGTATTTATTAAAGTTTGTCTCTTGTTTGCAGGGAACTTGGTAGAATATTAGATTAAAGGACCAAGAGGACTGTCCTCAAGTCAGAGTGATCCATCAGACCATCAGTATTTGCCTTAATAACTGCTTTTTAGATGGGATAGCAAAATCATGGAAACAGGGCATTTGGGTCTGTCCTGGGCCCAGAATGGCAGGAGACCAACTGAGTTAGTTCTATCATGGATGAGGGAGGACTCAGTCAACTGGAATTCAAGGCTGTTACATATATTATTGAAACCCTTGTTCTAGTGATTGAAAATATAAATTTGCCACTTTCAATTTAAGAATGTTTATTGATTGAATGGTCAATACCAGCTATAAAGGATTTCTTTCCTAGCTGCAGACATCTGCCTTTGGTGCTCTCCTAGCTTGGTTGTTTTCTTGTCTCCATTTCATTATCCAAACTAAGTAACTAACACCAGCGCTAATGACAATGTTACCTACCATAGTTTGAGTAATGAAATGTCTTGCAAGAAAACAACCAAAGTCAGAGAGCACCCAGGCCTCTCATTTCAGTCCTGAGCTACAAATGTTCTCCTTTATTGGTAAAATATATTTCTTTGATGAGAGTTCTTGATGAGCCCATAAACCTCCTTTTTTTTTTCATTTCCAGGAAAAAGAAAGAAATCTTTGTGATAGATCCTTCAAGCAACCTGTATTATAGGTGGTTGGGAATCATTGCAGTACCTGTATTCTATAACTTCTGTATATTGGTATGTAGGTAAGGATGATTTTCAATGCATCCCTGTGCTGTTACTGGTATTTTTGTCACTGGCATCTGGGGTGATGGTGGTGATTTAAAAAAAAGTCAAGATTGTGGCTAGAAATCAAAGCTCTGCAGTTATCTACACGTGTTACATATATGATTCACATGAAAAGAGAAGGCGCTTCAATTGTACAGTTCCCGCCAGCATCCTGATACTCCACTCCTCTGCAGTTGCTTCTGGTTCTGAAATTTAATCTGTCTGTCTGTCCCTCACAAAATGTTTATTTGCATCAGCTCCATTTTAGGCAATCACAATACTGCAGCAAGTGAGGTTGTGTATGCTTTAAAAATAGTTTGAAAGAGATACTGTGGGCTTTCTGAGAACACAACATTTCTCACTAAAACCTGGATGAGGTAGAACTGAAACAAGAGGACATGAGTGAATTGCACTGAAGATAGGCTTTCTTTAATGATTATTTAATATTTCAGTAATCAACTAAAGACAGTCTTGGATGAGATTGACACACACAGCTCTGTGGTTTGTTTTCACTCTGTTAGCTGAATAAACCCCAAATGACTCAATTCTCACAAACGAAGCAAGAAACTAAGAACTGCAAAAACACAACAGTCAGGTTCACACAGCATACTTAGCAAACCAACCAAATAATATACAAATCTCTGTCTAGCTAACTATTCATTCTGAGCACAAGAAGACAATGGTTTGGATTCTTTGCTTAATTATGTCCGTGTATCAGAGTCTTTTGATCCATACACAGTGAATCCGAAAATGCCATGTTTGAAGCAGCCTTTAGGCGCCACCTGGTGGAGTCATTTGTCAACAAGGAACGGCTACGTTCCTTATATGGGCTAACACTCTGCCTTGGTCTTTTCATTCAGTTACAGGACTGTAGTGTTTGTTCACTGCCCAGAGTCCCTTTGATGAGGGGCAGCCATACAAATACAAATAAATAAATAAGTGCCACCCGGAGTCATTTAGAAGTAAATCAGCAAATGCATTCATAAAGATAGAGAGAAAGAGCAGCTTGCTTTTTTTAAAAAATGGCCATCTTGTTGGCAATGCCAAACCTTTGCAAACCGATGTCTATTCAGATTCTCAGCCATCCAGGTCATAGTTATCCCAAAGGTGCTTTTTCAAAGGGTAACTGGACTTCGTTGCTGCTTGAAGATGTTTTGCTTTTCATCCAAGAATCTTCTTCAATTCTGAAGCTTCTTGGACGAGGAGTGAAACATCTTCAAGTAAAAACAAAGAAAGTCCAGTTGCCTTTTGAAAAAAGCACCTTTGGGATTTGCAAACAGATCTTTTCAATAAAAATATTAACAAAGATTAGGATTTTATATTGTGGAAGTCCAGGGGGGGAAAAGGGGAGGGCTAGGGAGGGTATGGGGGGCTTGGGGGGGGAGAAAATGTATTTGTAAAACTTTTTAAATAAAAAAAAATATTAACAAAGACATTGTCAGCTGAAGGCATGGGAACTAATGATTTTGTGGTTACAGGACTTAGTGCTTATTTAGTTTTCAATCCTGTTAGGCTTTATTGTTTTTTTAAAAGAGTGTTTCATTTATAAATACTGTAAGCAAATGAGAGGTTGATCTGCTGCAAAATCAGCTACTGGCTTGGAGGCATATTATTAAGAACCATTAATTGTGGGGAGATGCATTCCAGTAAATTGTTTAGAAGTGTGCACCAGCAGAGAAAATAGAGTGATAGGGAATATTTCAGGCGGCTAAATGGATAGACAGGAAATCATCTCATCAGTTGTTCTTTGGTAAACAAACGTTTTGTGATTGGCCACATCTATCACTGAAGTTATTTTCTAATTAGGCAAATCGTATTGTGAGAATACCCAATCACACCGTGTTCTAAAAATTCTAACTGTGCTCCAATCCTCCCAATTTGCCTATTTCTTGCAAGAAACATATGATTATTGTATCGTATTTATTTGTTTCTATTCTAACTCTAACCAGATCATCTGGTTTATCTAGGGCCTGCTTTGATGAGCTTCAGATGAATCATCTTGCACTTTGGCTGTTCTTGGATTATTCCTCTGATGTTATCTACCTCATGGACACATTTGTCAAGTTCAGGACAGGTGTGCATTTGTCTACACGCATCAATTAATTTCTTAAGAATATTGACTACATGGAGTGAAGTCACCAGTTTATCAGAAACCCTCTTCTCCTTTAGCTTGACCCGAGAAAATTCCAATATTGCATGGTAGATATTGGAGAAATGATTACTACAAGGCAGAACCTATGAGTAATTCTCTTTTCCTTACTCCCCCCTTGCAAATGTAGCATTTAGTCCAGGTTTAGTGCTAATAATGCCAATAGCGATACAGAATAAAACATCTGTTGTAGGGAAATAGACCAAATAGTTGAATATATTGTATACAGTAGATTGAAAGGCTGCTTCAATGATTAACATTTAATCAATGCTATCATCTTCACTGTAAGAGGATGATGATGGTACATTTTAAGGCAATCAGAGCTGAGAAACATTTGTGAACTTGCTTCTGAGAGAGGAATGACTCTGAAGTCCCTCTAACAACCCAATCGGGTGGCACAGCATAAAGCTTTGGTTTTCGGGCAGATCAGAAAGAAGGGAAATTAATTTTGCAGTCTTCTCCATCCTCCATGAACTCCTGGAAGCATTATCAATCCCTTCTCCTCAATGAATGAAAGCACAGACAAGCCCTTCTTTCTCTGATCCATTCTCACTTCTTATCTATAATTAAGTCTTTCTCTGTTCCTCACCTGATCTCACCTTACCTATAGGCTCGCTTTTCAATCCCCCTTTTCCTTTTCTTTCCTTCTCCCACTGAATTTCTGCCTCCCCAATTCTCCCCATTTGTGCCAGTACCCCTCCTCCTGCATCCCTTGGTGTATCCAAAGACAAGGGTCTTCTACAGCAGGAGTCTCCAACTTTGGCAACTTTAAGCCTGACGGACTTCAACTCCCAGAATTCCCCAGCCAGCTTTGCTTTGCTGGCTGGGGAATTCTGGGAGTTGAAGTCTGCCAGGCTTAAAGTTGCCAAGGTTGGAGACCACTATTCTACAGAGCATAGGTGGGACTTGCCTGCTGTCCATGCAGAGTGATGTCAAAATAATCAGGATGGCGGTTGCAAGTCCATTCAAAGTCCCACATTTGTCCCATGCACAAGGAGCAATGTTCAATTGTGCTGTCTTGCCTTTTTGACACAACCCTCTCTTTCCCCAAAGACGTTTTCCTTTTCCCTAAAATCTGTTTGCAAATATGGTGTCCCATTTCTAGCTCTTTGGTTACTTGCAGTGCTGGTAAAATGCTATTTCCCCAATGACTTCTACTCTTTCCTTCATTGGTTTTGCATTCATTTTCTGCTTTCATTTTTTAAAAACTTTCCTTGCTTTCCTTCCTCTTTAATAAAATCTAACCCAGTTCTTTGTGGAGAGTGTGGGCATTATTTTTGAGATTCAAGCTCTCTCTGGGATGCATAATTTTTAAATATTCTTTAGTTCAGAAACCTTGCATGCTGCTAAACCTTCCCTGCATACAGTAACACATCATAGCATCTCTATGATTTTGTTCCCTAATTCTATTTTATGGAATGGGGATTCAATAGGACAAATGGGTAATTTTAAGTGTTGCATAAATTTAAGACTTTTCACCCCTTAAAATCCTTGAACTCCATTCTTCACAAAGTTTTGGCTCCAATTTAAACAGCAGCTTTGACACCCTAGACAATTGCCTGCGGTCACCCTCCAGATAACAAAACTTGTGTATTTGGGAGTTAGAACAAACAAACCTGTTATTAGGAAACTATTTTTTAAAAGGGGAGAGATTTTAGATTGATTGGAAGATTGCAGTCTGTTCCTCCCGATAGCCAAAACTTTCTTGGCAAGTCATAAAATAAAGATTAAACTAAAAATGTAATAAAAAGAGAAAAGTAGCAGCTTCTATGTCTGCAGATATTCTCAGTCTTCCAGGTCATGATTGTTCTAAAGATGCTCTTTTCAGGAGGCAACTGGACTTCCTTGTTTTTTCCTTTTTCCTTTCCTTTTTTTTCCCTTTGAACATTGAACTTTGAACAATTTTTCTTTGAACCACCTGAGAGGTGACCCTAAGTACACAGTTAAACCTCCAAGTGCTTCAAGGACTCTCTAAAAGGATACAAATTACCAGCTGTCTGCAAGGAATATATGGTAAATCCTCCCATTCCCCACTCTCCTGTCAGAGTTGAAGAAGCTTCTTGGATGAGAAGCAAAATGTCTTCAAAAGAAAAAAAACAAGCAAGTCCAGTTGCCGCCTGAAAAAAGCACCTTTAAGATAGCAGGTATTACATGAATTGAAAACTGTAAAACATAGAGGTACAACTGACAGCAAAAGTCAACAATAACACATGTCCTTAACAGGGCTAAAGTATGTTTTAATTTGGAAAAAAAGGACTTTGCTTTCTTTGATGATATCCTTCAGAAGGCAAAGCTCTTTATGCTCTTTTCAGCATATAAATGTGTAAAAGAGGAAGATACCTAAGAGGAGATAAAATGATAGGTCACTGCAACATATTTTGCACTTGCAAGTTAGTATGGAAAACTATGATTTAGGCATTTCTGCTCAAAACATTTCTTGCCTTTTTTCTTTATTCTACTTTAAGGTTTCCTTGAACAAGGACTACTCGTTAAAGATGAAAAGAAATTAAAAGAATTTTATAAATCAACTTTGCAGTTCAAGTTGGACCTGTTGTCCCTTTTCCCAACTGATTTGGGGTTTTTATACTTTGGAATGAACTATCCTGAACTGCGATTTAACCGGTTGCTGAGACTTCCCCGGCTATTTGAATTTTTTGATCGTACAGAAACAAGAACAAACTATCCAAATATATTTCGTATTGGGAACCTTGTCTTGTACATTCTCATTATTATTCACTGGAATGCATGTGTATATTACTCCATTTCCAAACTAATTGGATTTGGGACTGACACCTGGGTTTATCCCAATATCTCCCATCCAGAACACGGACGACTGTCCAGAAAGTATATTTACAGCTTATACTGGTCAACGTTGACATTGACAACTATCGGAGAAACTCCACCTCCAGTGAAAGATGAAGAGTATCTGTTTGTGGTCATGGACTTTTTAGTGGGTGTGCTTATCTTTGCTACCATCGTGGGTAATGTAGGCGCTATGATTTCTAACATGAATGCCTCTAGGACAGAGTTCCAGGCCAAGGTTGATTCCATCAAGCAATACTTGCAGTTTCGAAAGGTCACTAAAGAATTGGAAGCAAGAGTGATTAAATGGTTTGATTATCTGTGGACCAATAAGAAAACAGTAGAAGAAACAAAAGTCCTGAGATACCTCCCTGATAAGCTGAAGGCTGAGATTGCCATAAATGTCCATATGGACACACTAAGGAAAGTGCGGATCTTCCAAGATTGTGAAGCTGGACTCCTGATTGAATTGGTATTGAAATTAAAACCTACTGTTTTCAGTCCTGGAGATTATATATGCAAAAAAGGTGATATTGGAAGAGAGATGTATATTATCAAAGAAGGGAAACTGGCTGTTGTGGCAGATGATGGGGTGACGCAGTTTGTGGTTCTAAGTGATGGCAGTTACTTTGGAGAAATCAGCATCTTGAACATCAAAGGCAGCAAAGCTGGCAACAGGAGAACTGCAAATATCAGAAGCATAGGTTACTCTGATCTATTCTGTTTGTCTAAGGATGACCTGATGGAAGCTCTCACTGAATATCCTGATGCCAAAAAGGCACTGGAAGAAAAAGGGCGGCAAATTTTGTTGAAAGATAACTTGATTGATGAAGAGGCAGCTAAAGCAGGAGCTGACACAAAAGACCTGGAAGAGAAAGTAGATAAACTTGAAGCAGCTATGGATATTCTTCAGACAAGGTTTGCTAGACTTTTAGCAGAATACACGGCCTCACAGTCTAAACTCAAGCAGAGACTTGTAGAAGTTGAGACCAAAGTGAAGAAACCTGAAAGTGATGCTTTGTTAGATGTACCAGGCGAAGCTGGAAAACCAGAAGAGCAAAAAAAGAATTAAGTATGTATGGTCATCTTCATTTAGCACAGAACTACTGCACCCTAAAATATGAACACACTTGCAAATATGTGAACAGGATTGTTTTTTATCCTCTGGAATCAGCAAGTTTGTATAGTTTTTAACTGAAGCGATTGTCTTCTAAATAGTAAATGCTGAACTTTTTTTTGATCTTTTTAGAAATAGATTTCCACATTTCTTTTATTTATTTTGTATTGGGGGAAGATTTTCTATGAGTGATGATGATCACATCTTATTATTAGGTGTTTGTATACAGTAGACCACATCACATTTATCTTTATAGCTTTGCAACAAGCACCTGCTGCAAAGCAATACTTCTCTGAATGGAACAGACTTTATGATACGGATGCATAAATACAACATGACTTGCCCATTTCCTTTCTTGAAATAGCAGTTTTTCCATTAATATAATGCATCCATTTCACATTACGTTTTTTTTTCTCATTAAAAAAACCCTTAATGCCTAGGAGATGTTGTCTAGAATATGTTGCCTAGAATGTGTGTGATGGAAAACAGAGTGGGTTTGTCCAAATGCAGACATGTGTAACAGCAAACTATCCACATTACTCTATCACAGGAGTCTCCAACCTTGGCAACTTTAAGACTTGTGGACTTCAACTCCTAGAGTTCCTCAGCCAGCTTTGCTTCAACTCTAGGAGTTGAAGTCCACAAGTCTTAAAGTTACCAAGGTTGGAAACCCCTGCTTTATCATATTGCATCAGCAGAAAAATCCATCCAGCAACCCTGTTTATGACTCACATCCTGATGGGGGTTTCATGCTCAACATTTTCCTGACAAAGTCACTCATGTTTGCTCAGAGTTGGATGCTACTTTGACAAATGTGTCAAAGAACTAAGAAGGTTAACATGAGTTCTGCTACCTGTGGACTATGAGGGAATGAGTTCAAGAGGTGATTAATGCCTCTTTGAGGGAGGAAATGGTACCTCCTCCTCCAACCTGATACCGTATACGCTTCTTGAAAGGACCCACTCTCAATCCTACAATATTAGACAACTTCTGTCCAATCTCTGATCTTCACTTTTTGGGAACATTCTGGTGAAGGTGATGGTAGAGCTTCATTGCAAAGATGAAGCTGACTATTTTAATTCCTTATAATCATAGTTCAGTTCTGGGCATGGACAGCAGGGACATGAAAGGAACCCCCTTGGAGGTCCCCTTGGCAATGGTGATGTCACCAGCTAATCCTTTCAATCCAGAAATGCCTTCCAACACAAATGCTCCAGAGGTGGGTTTCACCAGGTTCTGTCCAGTTCTGGAGAACCGGTAGTGGAAATTTTGAGTAGTTCAGAGAACTGGTAGTAAAAATTCTGACTGGCCCTGCCCCCATCTATTCTCTGCCTCCCAAGTCCCAGCTGATCGGGAGGAAATGGGGATCTTGCAGTAACCTTTCCCTGGATTGGGGAGGGAATGGAGATTTTAGAGCTTGGTGCCACACCCACCAAGCCACACCCACAGAACCGGTAGTAAAAAATTTTGAAACCCACCATTGAAATGCTCTCATGGATGGCCTCTATTGGAATCTGGATGATGGAAGGGCAGCTCTTCAGGTGTTTGCGATAGCATGAGTTGTTCTTTCTTTCTAGACCAGGGGTGTCAAACTCCCGGCGTCACGATGGCATCACGTGATGTATCAGGACTTTTCCCCCCTTCACTAAACCGGGTGTGGGTGTGGCTGGGTCCCAAAGTCCATGGGCTGGGACTTTGACAGCCCTGTTCTAGACCATCTTGGAGAGTTAGAGAATGGGTTTTCTACAATGATCCACAGCTTCTGTGAGGTACCATTTAATATTGGTGAGGGATGAATGGTCATATCCTTGGGCTCTCCATTTGGATGCCACAGCATGTGATAGTCTCCTCATTTATATCTACATAAAATTGCTGGGAGAGTAAAATAAAATAAAATAAATAAAACTGAATGTATTTAGATTGAGGTACCATTGGCATGCTGCTGATATCCAGGTATTTGATATCTGATGATTCTAAGTATAGAACGGGATGAAAGAACATGAAGTTGAATGCCATCACAATGGAATAATTGTGTGTCCTGCAGTCACATGACAGGTGGTTTAGAGGGATAGTGGTCTCCCCAGAGTAGCAGATCGGCCACTTAGGTAAGTTCTTTAACTCACAACTACACCTAGACCATCAGGTGCAGACCGTGGCTAGGGTGTTTTTGCCCAGTCATGGTCAGTACGCCAATTGTGTCATTTCTTGGATCTGGACCTCTCAAAAACTATTATCCACATCCTCATTATCTTTAGATTAGACTAGTACAATGCACACATCCTAAAGCTGACATTGAGGAATATTTAGAAACCATAACTGATACAGCATGCAGCAACCTGCATGTTGAGTACAGAGAGCAAGAATTCTGCACTAGTTTCTAGTAGGCTTTGGAGTGCAATTCAGTGTTGTCATTGCTCTTTAAAGCACCACAGGGTTCATGCCCAGATTTCCTATGGCTTGTGCATTCCTTTGGGTCAATGTTGATTCCCAACAAGTACCTGAACAATTACCTTGGCAAAGTTTTTCAGAAGTGGTTTGCCATTGCCTCCTTCCCTGGCCTGAGAGAGAGTTACTGCCCCAAGGTCATGCAGCTGGATTTGTGCTTAAGGCAGGATTAGTGATCGCAAGTATCCTGGTTTCTAGCCTGGTGCCTTAACCACTACCCAAATATAAGTCTCTATTTTATGACTGCCTGATCCCTAATATTCTAGCCAGCCTGTCCACTCTACCTGGGAAAGATGTTATTGTCAGGTTTCGATGCTATCTCAAAATAAATGAATTTCCAAACTGCCGATCTTTGAGGAAATTTTCTCTTTATTGAGCATAGCGATCTGATCCTGGCTCTTTCATGGTCAGTACTGACCTTTACCCTCCAATCCCTCCCTTTCCGATCCCCAATTCTCTGCTTCTCATTGGCTATCTTCCAAGCAACTTTCCTCATCCCTTCTTCGTCAGATCACAGGAATGTCTCCCCCCTCCCATCTCCGAGGAGACAGAATCTTCAAAGGGATTTAGTAGGCAAAAGTTCAAGCTTCTCCTCTCCTTATATATGTCAGTGCTGGGATGCTGACAGTTATATAACATTTCAACTTGGGAGGCAAAGGAACTTGGAAACCATATTTCACTACCCCTGCCCTGATCCTCTGGAACTTCTCTCCACCCAAGATCTACATGAGACCCAGCCTTGCTATCTTCATGAGAGTGTTAAATTTGGCTTTTCAGACAAATTTTTAGAGATTAGCATCCAGGATGGGATGTGCATTCCTTATTTGTTAATTTAGCAATATTTATGGTCTATCTCAATCCTTATACAGACCGGGTAGTCTACTAAAAAGTCATAATCAAAATATTAAAAACACTATAAAACAACAATGTTCATATAAATAGCAGATAAGTATTATCATAAGCAAAAAAGCCAAAAAAATCTAAGGGACAAAACTAGCCGCAGGGTTGGAGCTATCTGTATCTCTCTGTGGGAAGAGAATTCTGGGGAGAAAATTCTATTGAGTGAACCTGCTACAGAAAAAGTGTGGCCTGATGTAATCTGTACCATAAAGGGCTTTCAAAGGCGATGACCAGACCACTGGATTTGGAAGCCTATTGGAGGCAGTGCAGTGACTTCAAGATAAGGGTTATTCTTTACCTTTTAGGGTTGTTCCAGGAGGAATCTAGCAACACGACTTGCCCAGCTGTACCTTTTGGATTATCTGGGTAGGCTCAAACTTGAGCTTTTTGCTCAATGGTGCCCACCTTTGACTTTTCACTATCTTTGCCATCACCGCATGAGATCAGTGAAACTTGCTAGAGTGATCTCATCCAATGCTTTGGCTACTCCCATTTTTCACATTCAAGCAGGCCAAAGACGGTGCTGCCACCAAGTTGTAGGGACATTACATATACAAGTTGTACAGTCATTCCTCCAGTGTCTTTGGGAAACCTTCTGACTTGATTAGGTGCCTAGGGATGTTGTGATCCAAGCTGACAAGAAAATGATCTTGAAGGACAGATATTAAAATTCTCCATTTTCAGACCAAGTCTCATCTGTGCTGAAATAAAGACCAGATCAAGCATGGGCCCAATGTATCAGACTGTGATTGCTTGAGAGAAGCTAATGCTAACCACAAGTATCATATACTACATGAGAACACTTCTAGGGCATGAGGGTCAAAATCATTCACGATTCAAAGCCTTGGGAACTCAACTGCAAACTTCTGAGATTCAGGAATTCATGGAAAGTCATGTCTTATTTTAGGAATGTGTAGTATTTTATATACTTTGGTATGGCTGAATGTGGTTTTATTATGTTTTTATTAGTATGTTTTGTGAACTACTTACTTTTTTTTATAGTTCAGCATTATATAATAATAGTAATAAACAAACAAACAAATATCACGTAGAGGCCTGAACAATGAATATTTGTATGCTTATTTCAAAAATGATCTTTTTTCCTATTGATACTCTCATCCCAGTGAAAAGGCCTGATGAAATGCCAAGTTTTTGTTTGTTGTTGTAGAATGTAGATCTATAAATATACATGAGTTGAGCAGTGGTGAGCAGCTGTTGAAGTGCTTTTGCTGATTTTTTGGGGGATATTTATTCTGTTCCCACTCACCCAATATCAGGCTCAAAGGCAGCTGGAGCTGTTACACTGATTTTAATGCTTTGGGGAGGGGTACTTCTGTGTGCTTTGCACAATCCTAAAATTACTGAGGACAGCTGGAATTGTTGGCTCTTTACAGCAGCATCTCTAATTTGTTCTGGCCTTCAATTCCCAAATTTCCAGCCAACAAGGTCATGTATTATGCTGGCTGGGAGTTGAATTCTGGCACATTTGGAAGTTGCTAGTGGCTTTCGCTTTAATTGATATTGCTTGATGCTCCTGGTGTTCAAACAAAAATTAATACAATTCTTCCAGTTAAACAATGCAAAATAAAATTGCAGTCAGAAGTTAAGATGACCTGGGATGGTTTAAAAAGGAAGAAAGAGAGTGAGTGAGCAATCATAACTCACCATTTAGAAAGAGATCAGTTTACCCCATCACCAAGAATTCTGTTTCTGACCAAAGGCAGAAAGTGCAACTCACCTCATTCAGTATTTTTTCCCCCATTTTTGAAAATTGTTGGGAAAGGTTCTTTTGAAACTGGCTACATCTCAAAAAATAAACCACTTTCTATACTGGCTAAAAAGAGTTAGAAATCAGAATATCTGTTTGATTCTTACTTCTGACTCAAACTCAGAAGCTGGGCTTAACTAAACCTCTGTTATTCTCAACCAGTCTCAATCCATCCTCCAGTTGCAATATAGGGAATAAGATTACTATTTAATTTATATATACTCTTCATCTTGCTGCTTCTGGCAACTCCAGACAGCTAAGACTCCGTTATTAACTTAGTTGATTTTTGTAAAATTGCAATTCAATAATTCAGAATCT